ACTAGACAGGCGCTTTGACCAACTAAGCCACAGCGCCGATACGTGCAAACAATCTTTTAGGGTCTCGAAAGCAAAAATGTATCTTCCAGACCATGAGACAAAATACAAGAATAAGCCATTTTCAAAAAGGCACTGCTGAGATTCGAATTTAGGATTTCCTGTTTACTAGACAGTCGCTTTAACCAACTAAGCCACAGCGCCGATACGTGCAAACAAATATTTTAGGGTTTCAAAAGCAAAAATGTATCTTCCAGACCATGAGACAAAATACAAGAAAAAGCAATTCTCATGAAGGCGCTGCTAAGATACGAACTCAGGATCTCCTGTTTACTAGACAGGCGCTTTAACCAACTATGCCACAGTGCCGATACGTGCTAACAATCTTTTAGGGTTTCGAAAGCAAAAATGTTTCTTCAAGATCATGAGACAAAATAGAAGAAAAAGTGATTCTCATGAAGGCACTGCTAGATTCGAACTCAACTTTAACCAATTAAGCCCCAGCGCCGATACGTGCTAACAATCTTTTAGGGTTTCGAAAGCAAAAATATATCTTCCAGACCATGAGACAAAATACAGGAATAAGGGATTTTCATAAAGGCGCTGCTGTGATTTGAACTCAGGATCTCCTGTTTACTAGACAGGCGCTTTTACCAACTAAACCACAGCGCCGATACGTGCTAAAAATCGTTTCGGGTTTCGAAAGCAAAATGTATCTTCCAGACCATGAGACAAAATACAGGAACAAGCGATTCTCATGAAGGCACTGCTAAGATTCGAATTTAGGATTTCCTGTTTACTAGACAGTCGCTTTAACCAACTAACCACAGCGCCGATACGTGCTAACAATCTTCTAGGGTTTCGAAAGCAAAAATGTATTTTCCAGACCATGAGACAAAATACAAGAATAAGCCATTTTCATAAAGGCACTGCTGAGATACGAACTCAGGATCTCCTGTTTACTAGACAGGCGCTTTAACCAACTTAGCCACAGCGCCGATACGTGCTAACAATCTTTTGGGTTTCGAAAGCAAAAATGTATCTTCCAGACCATGAGACAAAATACAGGAATAAGGGATTTTCATAAAGGCGCTGCAAAGATTCGAATTTAGGATCTCCTGTTTACTATACAGTAACTTTAACCAACTAAGCCACAGCGCAGATACGTGATAACAATCTTTTAGGGTTTCGAAAGAAAAAATTGATCTTCCAGACCATGAGACAAAATACAAGAATAAGCCATTTTCACAAAGGCACTGCTGAGATTCGAACTCAGGATCACCTTTTTACAAGACAGGCGCTTTAACCAACTAAGCCACAGCGCCGATTCGTGCTAACAATCGTTTAGGGTTTCGAAAAAGAAAAAAAAATCTTCCAGACCATGAGACAAAATACAGGAGTAAGGGATTTTCATATAGGCGCTGCTGAGATTCGAACTCAGGATCTCCCGTTTACTAGACAGGCGCTTTGACCAACTAAGCCACAGCGCCGATACGTGCAAACAATCTTTTAGGGTTTCGAAAGCAAAAATGTATCTTCCAGACCATGAGACAAAATACAAGAATAAGCCATTTTCAAAAAGGCACTGCTGAGATTCGAATTTAGGATTTCCTGTTTACTAGACAGTCGCTTTAACCAACTAAGCCACAGCGCCGATACGTGCAAACAAATCTTTTAGGGTTTCGAAAGCAAAAATGTTTACTAGACAGGCGCTGTAACCAACTTAGCCACAGCGCCGATACGTGCTAACAATCTTTTTGGGTTTCGAAAGCAAAAATGTATCTTCCAGACCATGAGACAAAATACAGGAATAAGGGATTTTCATAAAGGCGCTGCAAAGATTCGAATTTAGGATCTCCTGTTTACTATACAGTAACTTTAACCAACTAAGCCACAGCGCAGATACGTGATAACAATCCTTTAGGGTTTCGAAAGAAAAAATTGATCTTCCAGACCATGAGACAAAATACAAGAATAAGCCATTTTCACAAAGGCGCTGCAAAGATTCGAATTTAGGATCTCCTGTTTACTATACAGTAACTTTAACCAACTAAGCCACAGCGCCGATACGTGCAAACAATCTTTTAGGGTCTCGAAAGCAAAAATGTATCTTCCAGACCATGAGACAAAATTCAAGAATAAGCCATTTTCAAAAAGGCACTGCTGAGATTCGAATTTAGGATTTCCTGTTTACTAGACAATCGCTTTAACCAACTAAGCCACAGCGCCGATACGTGCAAACAAATCTTTTAGGGTTTCGAAAGCAAAAATGTATCTTCCAGACCATGAGACAAAATACAAGAAAAAGCAATTCTCATGAAGGCGCTGGTAAGATACGAACTCAGGATCTCCTGTTTACTAGACAGGCGCTTTAACCAACTAAGCCACAGTGCCGATACGTGCTAACAATCTTTTAGGGTTTCGAAAGCAAAAATGTTTCTTCAAGACCATGAGACAAAATAGAAGAAAAAGTGATTCTCATGAAGGCACTGCTAGATTCGAACTCAACTTTAACCAATTAAGCCACAGCGCCGATACGTGCTAACAATCTTTTGGGGTTTCGAAAGCAAAAATGTATTTTCCAGACCATGAGACAAAATACAAGAATAAGCCATTTTCATAAAGGCACTGCTGAGATACGAACTCAGGATCTTCTGTTTACTAGACAGGCGCTTTAACCAACTTAGCCACAGCGCCGATACGTGCTAACAATCTTTTTGGGTTTCGAAAGCAAAAATGTATCTTCCAGACCATGAGACAAAATACAGGAATAAGGGATTTTCATAAAGGCGCTGCAAAGATTCGAATTTAGGATCTCCTGTTTACTATACAGTAACTTTAACCAACTAAGCCACAGCGCAGATACGTGATAACAATCTTTTAGGGTTTCGAAAGAAAAAATTGATCTTCCAGACCATGA